AGTAGCATCAGTGGCAGAGGGAAAGACAACATGGGGGCAGAGGCTGCAGTGAGGGGGAAACAAGATGGGGGTAGCAGATGTGGTGGGGAAGATGGCAGTAGCTGCCATTCTGACTATGACCCCAACCCTGCATCCACATGCCATTACTGGCATTCAATATAAATACTAATTTTCCGTCCTGGGTGTTTATCTCTTGATACATTTATAGGCAGCAATCATATTTATTTTCTGGCCCACAGAGCCATGGCATCCAGCCACAGGGCTCCCCATATGTCAAGAAATTTGGTGGTAGGGGAACAGTGCCAAATAATACTTCCACCCCTCCCCTGCTGCCCAATTCCCAAGCCCCACATGGCCAGGTCAGGCCTGTGCCATGCACTCCCCTCCCATCCCCCACACTAATGTCAGGGCCAGGCCACTCCTCCTCTCCCTTCCCACCTCATGTGACTGAGTGGGAACAGAGCCATTCCCCCTTCTCCTCTCCATGCCCTGCCCTGGCATGACTGGATTAGGCCTCCATGCTGCCTGCCCTACACATTACATCTGGTCCACAGGTGGAACAGGTACTACCCATTCAGCCTGTTAGGTTTGACCTAGAAACCACTACACATAGCCCAAGCAAAAGTCTCTGTTCTGTAACTAATGCTCAATTGCAATGATAAGGAGAAGACAGTCTTAGATAAAGGAGACTTGAAAACAAAAATAAAATTAGTGGAGTAGGGCAAAGAGCTGATTTAAATATTAAGATTCACACCCCTAGGTGGGGAGAAAGTATGCTAATGAAACATACATGTATGGAAATGAGATACATAGCTAAAACACAGGTATAGAGACATGCGCAGTAAAGAACTCCTTGCGTCACTCCCTTATAACCAATTAGCAAACAAGAATGCTTATGAAGGTCCAATACTCCTGTATAAAAGATGCTCATAATTAAGACTCTGTGTGCTTGTTACGTGAAATTATTCCGCTTGCACCTTGTATTGCTAGCAATAAATCTTTATACTTTCACCCCTGGTATCTTTATTGGCTTTTGCATACCGGGCACGATCCCAGACTTGAGCTGGGGCTCAACAAGCCCATAGGACAAAAAAGGTTGGGCTAACACTTTTCTAAGCTAACACTTGAACCCTCATTTATAGCAACTTGATGGACATGTATGACAAGTAATGTAATTAAATTTTGTGTTAATCTAAAAGGAAACAACAACCAATCCTAAGGAACCCTGTACTCAAGTTAAATTCTCAGTCCTCTGGCAGACATTACACTTAAGATGTGATTAACCAGTTACACACATCTTAAATAGTAACCAACCACATGTTCAGGCAAATAGTGCAATAAAACAGGGAGAAAGCCATACAGTTATTACACACACACAAAATGTGGCTGGTTCCCATCATACCTTAAATTAAGGTCCAGAATCAGCTGACTCGCATTCTGACCTGGGAACACCAGCACCCACCTTATTACCTTCTGATGATGATCTTGGGTTACCCTGGCACCAGAAATAAAGCACAATTGTGATCTGATTCCCGATCCCATAATAGTGCCTCCATATGTAGCATGGCAGGAATCACAGATCAGATTATACTGCATTTTTAAGCAAACATCTGGTGGTGCCTCACTGAATAGAGAACATGGGACTAGGGCCAATTTATAGATTAGACATGAATTTCAAGTATTTGAACATAAAAAGCAACCTGATTTTTCTGACATTGTTTTACTTAAGTGATGCCAACTGTTGACCTTGTAAAGAAGAAAGATTTGTTGGTAATATCTTCTCCTGGACAAGCTATATGGTTGGGAGAGATGTTAGACAAGATTTGGACATTGTTTCCTCCTTTTTAGCCATGGAATTTAAAAGGTAAATCTACTAGCTTTCAGAGACTAGGACTATTAAAAACTTGCACTTGGAAAGCAACACTGATACATTTGCTGATTATACTCCTGATATCATCAAGTGCTTTCTTATATATAGTGCTGCCCTTTCTATATATCAACTTGGATTAATCAAAGACATACTGCTTTAGCAAAAGATCAGCACAATGTGGGGAGCTCCTTCCCCACAGTATGAGGTACATTATTAAAAGATAAAAGCTGAAAACTCCAAGAGATCAATTCATCCCTGTCCAGAGCACCAAGTACACCTTGCAGTGAAGTAACCAACTACGGACTGAAGTTGTAGGAAATCATATGTTACAGTCACTAAAAAGCCTGAATAAAGTACACAGATGTGTATCAATTAGATAAATAACCTGATGCTTATAAGAACAAGGCCCCTAACAGACATTTCATTTATTATGTGATTAACATGATAACAGCACAATAAACTGTAACATGCTACACATGCAACAATGTATCATGCTATCAAATGGCATACCAGCCACAAAGATGTTACTTGTTAAATGTGCCACTTCTTTGTGGTTGGTTTGTATTATGCTTTAATTTGACTGAGTAGCATTTATGCTCTGCTCTCTCACCCCACTCCAAGAGGGATAAAGGTACCATGTTAGCCTGAAGCCAGCCAATAGCTAAGGCTGGGTGGCACCTCAGAGATTATCATCATCATTGGCAGCCATCGCTCTCAGGAGAGCATGGAGATTGTGTTTTAGGTGGGTTTCCGGGTACCACCATAGCTTCTTGAGTGGCTGAGGAGTCTGATGCGTGACAGGCAGACCCTCCAGCAAGTTGCACATACAGACTCGGTTGAGGTTGCACTGGCATGCCAAGTACTGTTTTGCCTTGCCTGCCTCTGACACCTCTCTAGCTTCAGAGGCAGGCTAGAGAAGAGGCTTAGAGACTAACTCATTCAGAAAGACATAAGTTTTGTAGATAACAGCCTACTTTATCAGATGCTACAAAAAAAAGAGGCTATCACCTACAAAAGCTTATGTCTTTCTGAGCAAGTTAGTCTCTAAGAGTGCATACAGATGTACTAACTTTCTGACAGTTAAGCCAACTTAAAAAAGTTAAGTCAACTTAACTGTCAGAACATACACATGTATGTGGAGCAGAGTTGACTTAAATGCAGCGCAAGATAATACACCTCCAAGACTATCTCGAGTCATATTATTTAAGTCAACTCATCTCACAGGATGGCTGCCACCACGTCAAGGAGCTATATGTGTATGCTCCAATGTGGTCTAACTTAAGGCAACTTACTTAAGTCACCTTATTTTAAGTTGACTTAGTATGTGTGTATGCAACCTAAGGTATTAACCTGCCCTGCCTTATCCATATGGGAATGGAGGGTGGAAAAGAAGCTGACTCCCTGAGTACCAGAGTTGCCAGTGAAGTTTTCAGGCTGCCCTATCCCTGGCAGCAATGGGAACAGGACTGCCAGGGCAGCCTTTAAAGGTCCAGGGACTCCAGGATCCTGGAATTGGAGAGAAGTCCCCTAAGCCCAGATTCAGCCTGCACAAGCAAGTTTAAAGACATTCTGGGCAGCCCAGCATCAGGGACCGTCTCCAGTGCCAGGGTTTCCAATGTGCCCTTCAAAGGTCTGGGTGTCCAGGGAGCCTGGGACTGGGAAGCAGCTCCCCAGTCCCAGGTGCCCTGTGAGCCAGTAAGCTTAATGAGTGGCCTGGGAAGTGTAGCACTGGAGAATTGCTCCACAGCACCAGCAGATGCATGATCGGATCTGAGAAATTTTATCCCAGATCACAAAAACTGCATGTCCTGCCATGTCAGATCTTGAATGGCTGGCATGGCATGAAACACATTTTGGGGGGGATCCAGAATAAAATTCTTCAGATCCCATCATGTGCTTACATTATCATCTGTCAGGGGCCCCAGTGATCAATTATCAAGCTTAGAAGGCACCTTGCCAAAAATGCCCACAAAAATCAAAATCTCTAGCTATACAATCTGCACTATATGTTAATCAATATCAAGGACATGTGCCACTCCACCCAGAGCAATCTGGATATCTGTCATTAGGACCAATAGTGCAAACTAGTACAAACAGTAGCATCTATGCAGAGATGCTACAGAGAAATGTTCTCAGTTTTACATAAGGTACAGCAATTTCAACATTAATGTCCGTAGATAACATGAAACATGTTTCCTCGGCTATTGCACAACACTGGTTTCAGGTTGTCCTAGGGTACCATTTCTGTTATGGAATACTACCATTCCATGATAGAGATGTGGCACTGCCACCTTCAAGTCGGGGGTAGGTAAATGGTTGGCTGTAATGCCTCTAACACTCTTTTCTTGAGGTGAGCCTGAATGGAGCTTGCTATTCATCTCTGCCCAATATATTTATGTATTCACCACCTAGAGTGACTTGTCAGAGCTATGGGTATGTATAACATCTGCCTGGTTGGAATTAAGAAGGGATGCCTACTTCAGCAATATCGCAGTTATAATGTTGAATAAACAACTAGATATTAAAACATGGTGTTTTTTCATAAGGTACACAGGAAACTCTGTTGAAACTTTCCATATTTAATCTGACCCTTAAACAGCTTTAGAACTCTTCAAAAACATACTTTATACGCATGGGATTCTATATTTCCATCTGCTACATTTTCACCCCTACTTAAGCTGTATCACTTTCCAACATTAGCCCACTGAAAGCATTTGGAATGTAAGATCAAAAGGCTGACTTCCCACATCCCTGAGTTTTTGCTGTAGCCAGAAGTAAGATGTAACAAAAACAACATAAATCAAATTAAAATACATTTAAAATTAAACTAGATTTCCTGAAGATGGAAGGACCTCATATCTGAAAATCAGAAGCCAGATTGGGAATTACAGTCATTTTTACTGAACAAAGTTCACTGTTAAATTTAGCTGTAGTTTAGTACATCCTGAACCTTTCTTTAACTTTCTACCTCTTTTGGATTTCCCACAATTTTAATGCATGTGGTTGATTATCCTAATTTCAGCAACTGCACACAAACTAAGAATGGGCTTTTATTACATGGGTTCATTTTAAATTTTCAGTTCAATACTTAACATAAATATGTTTCACATTTAGTTAACTAACAACATTATTATAATAAATGATAAAAAGCATTGATTCTAACCACTTTGTCCTCCTTTGGGAAAGCATCCAAGGAAGCAGAATAAGGAGAGAAAAGAAACAGGAAGAGAAAAAGAAAAAGGGAGGCAAATATTAATAGGCAGATTTCAAAGAAAGGCAATTCTAGTAAGTGTCTATAAAGAGCTGAAAACGTAAGAATTAAAAAAAAAAAGAAAATATAACATTTTTAAATAAAAAGATACTTATACTATTGCATATACAGAATATATATATCCCAACATGGACCCATAGAAGTATAAGAGATATTAGCAAAGAATGGAGAAGACACATGAAAGAATGAAAGCAATAGCAATCAATTTCTTTTTTCACAAGAATCAACTTCCAAGTGTTTCAAGGACATTTATCATGATGACTGTAGCTTCTGTTTCTTCCATCAAAAGCTATTTGTTTTCACAAATTTACAACTTAATATTTCCTCTTACAGAAATTTGTCTAGTCATTACACAGGATAAGGTCCTAAACCAGGCATGACATTTATGTTTCTTTTCTTTCTTTTGTAACAGGCCCAAATTGACCATTTTAAAGTTTTAAGCAAGTGAAAAATTGGACATGTAACTGTAAACCTGTACTATAAAAAACAACTCCATCAGATAATACAGTTACAAGACTGTTGTCCCTTGACCCAGTTACAAGCGTGGGAAAATTTTGCCCATGAGTCAAGAGCTTTACTCTTGCTTCAGAACTGGGTATTAGCCTAATCATCTGTCCCAATTATAACAAGGTCAAGTTAGGTACAAAAAAATTGTACCTGTATCACAACTGAGTCAGGGAAGGGGAAAGAGAACTGTATAATTAGATTGCTTGAGTCAACTGTTTTCCATATTAGATGTATCCTATTTCTCACATGCAGGTTAGTTTTCTAAACTGAATACTTGAAGAATCTTCTGAGGATTTTCTTTCCTCACTGTACCTTACTAATGCATTTCCTGGACTTAATTTAAACATCCATGAAGATTGTGCAAGCCAACGTACAAATTAGGCACAACAGGAAAGCATTTTAGCATTATGAAAGTTCTAAGTTCTACAAAAATAAATCAAATTCACCCATAACACGACACTCCAAAAGTCATCTGGAGTGTTACATCAGGGACAAAATTTAGCCCAATTTTTGTACATGTGAAGAAAAATATGGGATAAGAAATAACTAAAACATATACTAGCTCTTCTTGAGTATGGGTAATCTGTGCTATACATACCATGTTACCAAGTATTACCTAAAATAGCACAGTAAACTAGGTTTTCCAAAAACTTGCTCTGGTGATACCATCTGCAGGTGATAAAATGAAATGCATCCAGTTACTTTTCAAACTTCATATAGATTTAATATTTTAAGCTCTAGAACTATATTGATTTTTCAAAAAGTGTATTTAACTCCTTGTAAGGATACTAGGAGTCTTAATGCTGCATTAGGTTGTATTATGCATATTTCTGCCAAGTTATCACTCAATGTATATAGTTCTGAAAAAATCTACATGCATTTACAACAGTGCCAAAGGATGTATTTACACATGCTCCAGGAGTGGTGAGAGGGGGACACTCTAATTAAAGCGGCTCTGATAGCTGCCTCTAATTAAAGCATCCAAGGTGTCTTGTGTATTCAGCATCCTGCACTTCAAAAGAGCAAGGGGGGCCTTTAATTAAAGCTTGTTCAACAGTTAAAGTGCCCCCCATCACCATTTTGAAGTGCAGGGATGCTGAATATATGAGACACAGAGCCTGCTGGAGAGCGCTAATTAGCATGCTCCGGCAGACTCGATTAATTGATTAATCAAGTCTGCTCCACCGTGCTGTAATTACAGCGCATCGGAGCAGTGTCCTCACATGTGTACAGGCACCCAAAGACTCCAGTGCCTTGAAACCGTATCTGGAAAGCCAGAATTGATCTCCTAATAGCTAACAAATCCATTAGTAAAATGAAATTATAAGCACACACGCATGTACGAGTGTGTGTGTGTGTGTGTGTGTGTGTGTGTGTACTGGGCCTAGATCATAATCCAAAGTTTAGTACATGACAGTAGACTTCTGTATAAGATCTCACACATCATGCATGACTGTCGTGGATGGATACAAACTGTTCAGGAAGGACAGGCAGGGGAGAAGAGGAAGAGGAGTTGCACTTTATGTAAAAGAGCCATATGATTGATCAGAGCTTCAGCATGAAACTAGATAGGCCTGCTGAGAGTCTCTGGGTTAGAATCAAAGGGGAGAGCAACAAGGGTGATATTGTGATGGGGGGCCTGCTACAGACCACCAGACAGAAGAAAGTGGTGAAAGAGGCTTTCTTCAAACAGCTACCAGAAGTTTCCCAATCAATCCCCCTGGCATCTGCTGGGAGGGCAAAACAGCAGCACACAGGCAATTCAGGAAGTTTCTGGAAAGTGTTGGGGACAACTTCCCGGTGTAAGTGCTGAAGAGGCCAACTAGGGACTATGCTCTTCTTCACCTGCTGCTCACAGACAGGGATGAATTGATGGGGAATGTGGTAGTGGATGCAACTTGAACAGCAGTGACAAGACAAGCAGTGACAAGACAGGTTCAGGATCCTGAGGAATGGAAGGATTTACAGCAGCAGAGTAAGGACCCTGGACTTCAAAAAAGCAGACTTCTACTCGCTCACAGAACTCATAAGTAGGATCCCCTAGGAAACCAGTCTCAGGGGAGAGAGGAGTCCAGGAGAGCTGGCTATACCTGAAAGAAGCCTTACTGAGAGTGCAGGAAAAAAGCATCCTGATGTGCAGGAAGACTAGCAAGTATGGCAGAAGATCAGCTTGGCTTAGCAGGGTACTCTTCAGTAAACTAAATCATAAAAAGGAAGCTTGTAAGAGGAAACCTGGACAAATAACTAGGAAGGAGAATAAGAGTATTACTCAGGCATGCAGGGATGAAGTCAGGAAGGCCAACACACAACTGGAGTTGCAGCTAGCCAAGGACATGAAGGGTAACAAGAAGGTTTTCTACAAGTATGTCAGTAGCAAGAGGAGGATCAGGTAAAGCGTGGGTCCATTACTGAATGGGGGAGGCAACCCTGTGACAGAGGATGCAGAAAAGGCTGAAGTGTTCAATGCCTTTTTTGCCTCAGTCTTCACAGGTAAGGTCAGCTACCAAACTACAGCACCAGGCAGCACAGTTTGGGGAGGAGGTAAGCAGTCCTCAGTAGTGAAAGAGCAGGTTAGGGACTACTTAGAAAAGCTGGACATGTACAAGTCCATGGGGCCAGATGGGATGCACCCAAGAGTGCTGAGGCAGTTGGCTGATGGGATTGCAGAGACACTGGCCATTATCTTTGAAAACTAATAGTGATCAGGAGAAGTCCTGGATGATTAGAAAAGGGCAAACATACTGCCCATATTTAAGAAAGGGGAAAAGGAGGACCCAAGGAACAACAGACCAGTCAGCCTCACCTCAGTCCCTGGAAAAATCATGGAGAAGATCCTCAAGGAATCCATTTCTAAGCACTTGGAGGAGAAGAAGGTGATTAGGAACAGTCATCGTGGATTCACCAAGGCAATCGTGCCTGACGAACCCAATTGCCTTCTATGACAAGGTGACTGGTTCTGTGGATGCAGGGAGACCGGTGGATGGATTTTACCTTGATTTCAGCAAGACTTTTGATTCAGTCTCCAACAACATTCTCACAGACAAGCTAAGGAAGCATGGGCTGGATGAATGAACTGTAACGCGGGTAGAAAACTGGCTGGAGCACTGGGCTCAGTAGTAATCAATGGCTTGATGTCTACTTGGCAGCTGGTATCAAGTGGAGTGCCCCAGGGCTCAGCCCTGGGGCCAGTTTTGTAAGAGGTCTTCATCAATGACCTGGAAAATGGCTTAAAGTGCACCTTCAGCAAGTCTGCAGATGACACCAAGCTGAGGAGAGTTGTACATAGGTTGGAGGGTAGGGCCAGGATTCAGAGTGTAGAATCCTAGACAAATTGGAGGACTGGGCCAAAAGGAATCTCACAAGGTTCAACAAAGACAAGTGCAAAGTCCTGCACTTAGGATGGAACAATCCCATGCACCACTACAGCTTGGGGGCTGACTGGCTGGAGAGAAGCTCTGCAGAAAAAGACCTGGTGGTTACTGTGGACAATAAGCTGAATATGACCCAACAGTGTGCCCTTGTTACCAAGAAGGCTAATGGCATACTAGGCTGCATTGGGAGGTGTGTTGCCAGTAGGTCAAGAGAAGTGATTATTCCCCTCTATTGAGCACTGGTGAGGCCATATCTGGAGTACTGTGTTCAGTTTTGGGGCCCCCGCTACAGAAAGGATGTGGAAATTAGAGAGAATCCAGCAGAGGGCAACAAAAATGGTGAAGGGGCTGGCACACATGACTTAAAAGGAAAGTCTGAGGGAACTGGGCTTATTCAGTCCAGAGGAGAGAAGACTGAGGGGGGATTTGATAGCATTCAACTACCTGAAGGGGGGTTCAAAAGAGGATGGAGCTAGACTGTTCTCAGTGGTGGCAGATGACAGAACAAGGAGCAATGGTCTCACGTTGAAGCAAGGGAAGTTTAGGTTAGTTATTAGGAAGAATTTTCTCACTAGGAGGGTAGTAAAACACTGGAACATATTACCCAGAGAGGTGGTGGAATCTGAATCCTTTGAGGTTTTTAAGACCCAACTAGATAAAGCTTTGGGTGGGATGATCTAGGTGGGGATGGTCCTGCTTTGAGCAGGGGGTTGGACTAGATGACCTCCTGAGGTCCCTTCTAACCCTCATTTTCTATGATTCTATGCACAACTGAGGAGGGCAGTCAGCCACCTGCCATGGGATCAGAAGACTGCCAAGAGAAAGAGTAGATCCCTGAAGAGCCTTCAAGTTTCGGAACACCTAGGTGATTGGGAACACCCTCTAGATAGGTTTATACAAACTACTAGTTGCTGTGAATGGGAATCTCACTTGCCTAACAGAAGGATTAAGAAGCAACTCCAAAGCAACCCTGGCTAATTTACAGATACAATTTTTAAAATGAAACTAACACACCTGGAGATGGATCCTATTTCACTTTACCATCTAAATGGCTGTTTCTCTATTATATTAATACCATTTTTATCTTCTAGAAAAAACAGACTTTTGACCTGTGTACATACTGGGAAGAAACAAAATAAAGCAGGAGGAAAAGAATCCTGTCATGTTTTCACCCTACTTTTGAACCTAGACACATGGGCAGGCAAGAGAGGGAGATATGGAGAGCCAGAAAGAAGCCAGAGGCGATGTGGCTCAGTAACATGACTAATGCTCTAGATAGGAGGACCCTTGTTCTCAGTGGGTGCATCTACACAAGAAGTTTCCTGCACAGTTGACTAATTAACCGCGCTGTAAATGTCTCAGTGCCTACACATGAGTCTCTAGTAGGGCATATGAAAAAATTCTGCAGCAGGTTAGGACTTGTGTCTATTGGGTGCTTCAGCATGGGGGCTCCCTGCTGGTTAGTACCACAGTGAAGCACCCTGTGCCCCAGCCAGCCTGGGCAGCATCTACAAATGTGCTGCCGCACATGGGAAAACTTTGGAGCAGGTTAGGACTTGTTAAATATCTTAACTTGTAAATACAAATCCTAATCTGTTGAAGAGTTCTTGTATGTGTAGCAACACATGTGTAGATGCTGGCCTGGCTGGCTGGGGCACAGGGTACTTCAGCATGGGTTTAACCAGCAGGCAGCCCCCATGCTGAAGCACCCTCATGCCCCAGCCAGCTGCTCTGCAGCACATGGAACCTATCGGAGCAGACCTGGGCTTTCAAATAGCACACATGGGAGCAAAAAACTCAAGAACAATAAGCTCTGGAGTTTATCTCCACACATTAATTACATGTGTAGACCAGCCCAAAGGGCCTGAAAATTCCCCAGTGTTCTCCAAGGACTGGAGAGGCTTATGGTTAACACCTAATCTGTAGCATAGCGGTTAAAGTACTGTCCTGGGAAGTAAGAGATGTAGGTTCAAACTACTGTAGGAGGATGGGGACCTAGAACCTGGTTCCTGGGTGAGTGCCCTGGGCACTAGTCTTTCAAGATAAAGCACAGGAGGACCTTCCTCTGTGGTTTAATATCTGCCAGTCATGGATTTTTGCCTGGCTAACATTTCAGGACTTGAATGCATACCCAAGTAAGCTTACTGCAACTGGAATGCCCACCCAGCAAGAGCACATCCCTTCTAAGCATGCTCAGAAGCTACGTGAGCACATGCAAATCCATATTACATCTGGAATAGAATCCCAAACTGTGCACACATGCCAAAAACAGCGGTAAATACCATTTGCATATATAAAGTGAAATAGGACCTTGGCCTCTGTGTTATTGGTGCAATTCAGAAAGGCTTACCTTTCCCTTCATCAAATTCTCTTTAAAAAGAGAAACATAAATAACCTTCATTAAAAGCTATAAAAATAGCTATTTTTGAAACAGCAGCTTAAACTTCTTTAGAGCTAATCAAAATGGCTCAATATGGAAAATTTCACAAAATCTAAGATGAAAATAGAATTCACTATCCCAAACAAAATGAGAATTTTACCTTAAACTATATCTCACTATAATCACGTGCTATATTCCTTTATGTTAACTAACTCATTTTAAAGCTCTAAACACCTTCATACTTTTAGAATATGTTATTTTTTACTTATTAGCTACTCCAATTGAAACCCCACTTAAAAAAAAGGGTCCAGGACATGATGAATGGATGAGATGTTAAAGTTAAGGCAGGAAATGCCATATTTAAATGACTGAAGAATTTGAACAATCTCCAGTTTGACTGTGTCAAAAAGATCTATTTAACACAGTATCACTTACGTTGTTTGATCGTAGAGAAACACGACCTCCACATCGGGCACAGAACTTGGTCCGACAATAAGAGCATAAATGGCCACAACCATCTGCAAACTTTGTTTTAAGGCAAATTCCACATGTTGGTGCATCATCCTTATGCTCTCCCTGGTAGCGGCGGGCTTCTTCACCTATTTTTCTCACTTGTTCTTTATAGCTTTCAAATTGTTGATGCAATCTCCTACACAGAAGAGAAAACAGTTTGCATGAAGAACAAAAACAAATTCTTTATTCCTTTTGATTTAACAGAAACTTACATGCTGAGCATGTTTATAATAACTGAAGTATGCAATATCAAATACAAATTGAATTTGACAGTTTGTCCCTCCATCTCTACAAGCCACATAAAAAAACCAGAAGGGGAAACTAATTGATGTAGCTATTCAAATACTAATTATTTAAAAGATGGCAAGTCATTTGACCTTACTAGAACCTGATTTAAATATGCAATTAGAGGACCAAAAACGGCTCAATCATATAGTAAAGTATATAAAAGACATGAAATCGGAGTTAAAAATACACTTATTTATATCCACCTCAGCAAATCTACATTATTTTTTAGCATAACTATTTTTATTTTATTGCAATGCTTACAGATTCAATTTTCAGTATCTACTTAAGAAAAAACTGACTGCTGTGGAACATAATTATGATGTCATAGGGATAACGGAGACCTGGTGGGACTCCATCCATGACTAGACCACGGGTATAGATGGCTATACACTGTATAGGAGGGATCGTGTAGAGAAAAGGGGCGGGGGTGTAGCTCTCTATGTTAAGGAAAGCTACACGTCCCTGCAAAACTTCTGGCATGATTTAGTCTCACTTCCCAGAAGGTATCCGATGCAATGCTCTCCTTCTCGAACACGTACTCCTAGCAGCACGTGATTGTTTCCCATTAGTGAAGTGGTCCAATAACTGCCTTCTTCTATGAATAAACTAGAGCAACCCTAATTTAATTTTGAGGAAAGTAATTTCACTCTTGTTTATCTCCTGGAAACATACCTCCTCATTATGGTTGATGAAATTGTGACAGCATCATGGCTGGTCTTGTTCAAACTTAGATTTGCGGTCAGAAATGAAAAAGACCTTCATGCACTAACGTTTAATTATAAAAGCACTTTTTGCACTACTCCAAAACCAAACCCATAGTTCTGTGTATTTGGCTTTTTTCTCTTTCAGGTAATGATAAAGAGGTGGAGAACCAACCTTGGCCAAATCTGTACTTAGTTCTGGGAAAGTCTGAGTTTTGGCAAATATGCTGAGGAAAATGTAATGACCAGCAAACCTGAGGCTGAGGCAGCCCAACATTTTATCTCCTGAGTCTAATTTCAAGTTTTCTGACATCTCTTAATTGACTTCAGTGCATGCATTTGATGGCATCACTTTAGTTTTCCAGAAATGCTTGCACAGTTTGGAGGGGGAAAAGAAACCATTTTCTGAGTGGATACCAGCACTGCTGTAACTATCAGTAGTAGATTCATGGCAGAACATGCTCAGATTCCCAGCAACACTGAAACCAACCACAATTTTTTCTTTGAGGTTTGAGATGGTTTGGACTATTATTCTTCTGAAGAGTAGAAAATAGGAGGATACTTTTAACCTATTAAATAGGTACTTTGCGTCAGTCTTTCATCAGTCCCATGGGACGCCCATGCCCGCTACAGGGCCGGGAAGTCCGGGTGAGGGTGATCCCCTGCCCTCCATTAATGCTGACTTTCTGAAGGAACATCTTGAGAAGCTGGATACCTTCAAGTCAGCTGGCCCTGACAATCTTCACCCCAGGGTACTCAAGGAGCTGGCGAGCATCATAGCCCAGCCTCTAGCACGGATCTTTGAAAACTCTTGGCGCTCTGGTGTAGTGCCCGAAGACTGGAAGAAGGCCAATGTGGTGCCTATCTTCAAGAAAGGGAGGAAAGTGGATCCGGCTAACTATAGGCCCATCAGCCTGACTTCTATCCCGGGGAAGATCTTAGAAAAGTTTATTAAAGAGGCCATCCTTAATGGACTGGCCGACGCCAACATCTTAAGGGATAGCCAGCACGGGTTTGTTGCGGGTAGGTCTTGCTTGACCAATCTCATTTCCTTCTACGACCAGGTGACCTATCACCTGGACAAGGGAGAAGAGATTGATGTCATATATCTTGACTTCAAAAAAGCCTTCGATCTGGTGTCCCATGATCGCCTCTTGGAGAAACTGGCCAATTGTCGCCTTGGGTCCTCCACGATCCACTGGCTGGGAAATTGGCTCCGGGGTCGGACCCAGAGGGTAGTAATCGATGGAAGTCACTCATCGTGGTGTCCTGTGACCAGTGGGGTCCCCCAAGGCTCTGTCCTTGGACCCATACTGTTCAACATCTTCATTAATGATGTGGACACTGGAGTCAGAAGCGGACTGGCCAAGTTCGCCGATGACACCAAACTTTGGGGCAAAGCATCCACACCAGAAGACAGGCAGGTTATCCAGGCTGACCTGGACAGGCTCAGCAAGTGGGCGGATGAGAATCTGATGGTGTTCAACGCCGATAAATGCAAGGTTCTCCACCTTGGGAAGAAAAACCCTCAGCATCCTTATAGGCTCAGCAGTGCTATGTTGGCTAGCACTATGGAAGAAAGAGACTTGGGGGTCATCATTGACCACGAGATGAACATGAGCCTGCAATGCGATGCGGCGGCTAGTAAAGCGACCAAAACGCTGGCTTTCATCCATAGATGCTTCTCAAGCAAATCCCGGGACGTCATTCTCCCCCTGTACTCGGCCTTAGTGAGGCCGCAGCTGGAGTACTGTGTCCAGTTTTGGGCTCCACAATTCAAAAAGGATGTGGAGAAGCTTGAGAGAGTCCAGAGAAGAGCCACGCGCATGATCAGAGGTCAGGGACGCAGACCCTACGATGACCGGCTGAGAGCCCTGGGGCTCTTTAGCCTGAAAAAGCGCAGGCTCAGGGGTGATCTGATGGCCACCTACAAGTTTATCAGGGGTGACCACCAGTATCTGGGGGAACATTTGTTCACCAGAGCGCCCCAGGCGATGACGACTAGGTCGAATGGTCGTAAACTACTACGAGACCGTTTCAGGCTAGACATAAGGAAGAATTTCTTTACTGTCCGAGCCCCCAAGGTCTGGAACAGCCTGCCAACGGAGGTGGTTCAAGCGCCTACACTGAACACCTTCAGGAGCAAACTGGATGCTTATCTTACTGGGATCCTATGACCCCAGCTGACTTCCTGCCCTTTGGGCAGGGGGCTGGACTCAATGATCTTCCGAGGTCCCTTCCAGCCCTAATGTCTATGAAATCTATGAAAGGCCCATAAATTAAAAATTCCAACATCATTTTGCCATCCTAGTGCCCCTAAATGAAGCCAAGTTTTTAAAGTGAAATCTACATACTTTGATACAGCAACTAGTATCAGTGTTCAATAAAATATAAAATGCCTTCAATACTGATAGCAGAGGTATGTGGGATAGTCTTTTATCCTTTCCTTGCTCTTTATACCACTAGTTTCTTGCAGTTTAATTGCAGTATTTTTCTTTCACTATATGCAGAGAATTCCAATATAAAGACTTAGGTTTATATGGTATATAGATGTTAAGGGATTTAGAGGCTAAAGCATTTTTATTTAGATGGTAAGAAATGTGCAATATATGCCTGTATGCAAATGCAAGATTTGGCCAGTGATCAGTGATTAATTGATTGCTTCCAATTTCATCTAGAATTTAGTTTTATTAAACTATTTTATGTTTAAGATTTTTTTTTTCACAGCTATAACACTTTTGTGGCTCACATTTCCAACTCAGAGCCTCCCCCAGTCACCCAGACAAGTCATGGCATAACTCTATGCCTCAGGCTCCCCTTTTGTAAAATACATCTAGTATAACTGCCTCAGCAAATCTGCACTGGTTTTAGCATTATTTTAGTTATTTTAAAAGGGGGAAATAACACTGAATTCCTTTATATTGCTCTGAAAGAAATAGTTGGATTTTTTTTTTTGAGAATGTACAGTCTCCTTTTATCTCAGTGAAATGTTGGCTCTGAAGTTTAATATGGCCATTTAAATTTCAACTCTTTTACCAATCAAATCATGCAAGAATGAAAATCTGAATGATCTATTCTGAATGGTGTTTTATACTGCCATCATACGTTGGCAAATTTTACTTGCGAGGGGATCTAGCATACTACTGCTGCTTATTTTTCCCCAATATGACTTCTGACTTTAAGTCTACTAACATTACTGTGAAGGTCATAGATTTTATGAGTGAAAATACATGACAGAGAGCATTTTCAAAAGCTTACCACCTTTACATAGAAAACACATGCTCTTCCCACACAAAACGTTGAGATATCTTGTGATGTATTAAATTTGCATCTCCTTAGATGCCAGCATGCATCTCCTTAAAAATGTATATAAAATTATATAGCTTATTAATAGAAGCAATAAATCTTGAGAACAATTCATTATCTAAGTAGCTGTGCCTGTATTTGGAAATCTTGATTATCCTCTTCATCTCCTCCTCCTGCTGCAAGCTAGCTATCTTCTTAGTTAGCTTTGAGAATTACACTGTTTAACTAATTTTATTTCAATCCTTGCCCCTTGTGGGAGCTCCACATTTGAATGCATTTCTCCTTCTTCCTCTGTTTCTCAGGATATAAATAGGAATCCTTCTTAAGTAGTAAAAATTGGGTTAAACTTCCCCAAAATGTTATTTTTTGTTAAATAAATGCTATTCTTAATAAAGAGGTGTTAGAATCTGTCCAGGGCATATGCAAGAAGCAAGGTTTATCTGATAATATCATTTACCGGACCAAATAAATTATTGGGAGAGATGTTAGACAAGCTTTCAGGCACTATGCCCTTCCTCAGGTTTGTACAAAGCTTCCTTGGTTTGCAGTTACTTCTGTTAACTTCCCGTTTTTTCCACAGGTTTACTGTCTTTTTCCCCTTTACGTAACTATCTTCATGTAACTCTCTGTAGGTACAGGAGAAATTCTGTTACTCACTCTGGGCATGTAAGTGCCTATTATAGGAATAAGGAATAAGATCATCCTCCCCAGATAAGCAGACATCTCCCTATTCCTAATACAGAGGCACTTATGTACTCAGAGGCTATGTCCACACAAGTGTGGATGTTTGTTTCCCCATGGACAAGAAGCAGGGGCACACATTGTGCCCCTGCTACTTGTC